CTTCCTGACAGAACAATTAACCAGTGGAACAACCTGCCTCCAGAGGTGGTGAATGCTCCAACACTGGAAGTTTTTAAGAAAAGACTGGACAGCCATTTGTCTGAAATGGTATAGGGTTTCCTGCCTGAGTAGGGGATTGGACTAGATGACCTCCAAGGTCCCTTCCAACTTTATTATTATTATTATTATTATTATTATTTTCCTTTGAAGACGTTTCGCTGAGAGCTGAAGAAGCTTCTTGGAGGAGAAGCGAAATGTCTTCAAAGAAAAACCAGAAAGTTCAGTTGCCTCTTGAAAAAAAGAGCAGCTTTGAGGGAAACCATGACCTGGATGATGGAGAATCTCCATAGACCCTAGCACAAATACAAAGCAAGTTTTTAAAGGCGTTTAAATAAAGCGCTCGGTTTATTGAAAAGGAGACGGGGAGTCAATACCGAATTTTATTTACTCTTTCCACGAAAACCTGGCGGGTTTTCACGAGACGTCCCGTTTATAATTCGAAATTGTCGCCATGGTCAGAGCTGTTTACGCGTTAGAATTAGATAGTTTATTTAATTTTCCTTCTGATTTTTTTTTTAAAGCTAATGTTCACAAACTGAGCACAAATATCCTGGACGGTTCCAAACCACTTACTGTCTTAAGAATTCATGAGGAACCGAACGGATTTTTCTCGGTTTGGGTTTCCAAAATTGTCTTGGGCTCTGGGACTTGATGGAATCGAAAGGCAACTGGACTTTCTTGATTTTTTTTCTTCGAAAACGTTTCGCTTCGTATCCAAGAAGCTTCTTCAATTGAACTTCTTCAGGAGAACCGACGAAGAAGCTTCTTGGATGAGAAGCGAAGCTTTTTCAAAGGAAAAACCAAGAAACTCCAATTACCTTCTGGAAAAAGCACCTTTGGGACAACCATGGGCTGGATAATTGAAAATGGAATGCATAATTGAAAATGATGGAATGTATCCAGTTTAGATCTAGTCACCTGGATCGCTCAAATGTCTACTTTTCGTTGTGATTATATCCTAAAAAAGATGCTTTTTACATGTATTGTGTAACCTTAATGCTTCTATGGAGGAAGCTGAAGGTATCTCAGAATATTGTTTCACTTAGCAAGTTGACAAGCTCTTTCTAGGAAAAGGTGGGTGGCTCTTAAAAGAGCCTTTGGGTGTCGTTCTGGGCAGCCGAGAGCGGGCAGGCAGGCAGGCGAGCGGGCTGGCTGGCTCTACTTCCCTTTGGCCTTGTGGCTCTCGGTCTTCTTGGGCAGCAGGACGGCCTGGATGTTGGGCAAGACGCCTCCCTGGGCGATGGTGACTTTGCCCAGCAGCTTGTTCAGCTCCTCGTCGTTGCGGATGGCCAGCTGCAAGTGGCGAGGGATGATGCGCGTCTTCTTGTTGTCCCGGGCCGCGTTGCCCGCCAGCTCCAGGATTTCAGCCGTCAGGTACTCCAGCACCGCGGCCAGGTAGACGGGCGCCCCGGCCCCGACGCGCTCCGCGT